TCTCAGTGTCGCAACAGTGGGCTTATCCTCACTGTTGGATTGTTCGTACGGCTCGAAATCGGGCCGGCGATAAAGCGCATCAGCGACGACATTGAGTCGTCCTGGTTTATACTTCACGGAGAAGTTATACTCCGCGAAGAAAGACAGCCACCTCGCCGTCCTTTGCGAGAGGTGTGGGCTGTTTACGGCCGTGCGTAGTGACGCATGGTCCGTATAGACAACAAACGGTCGATCTAACAAGAGATAGAAGCGAAACTTAGCCGGCGTGTACTTCATGGCAAGGAGTTTCTTGTCATGCACTGGGTAATTACGCTCAGCTGCTTGCAGCTGACGCGACTGATAACAGATGACGCGCTCCGCGCCATCTGCATCGAACTGTATTAACGCACAGCCGATTGCAAAATCGCTGGCGTCACAGACCACATGAAATGGTCTGTCCTGATCTGGAATCGCCAAGATCGGCGATTGCATCAAGCTTTGCTTAATACCCTCAAACTAACGCTGGCGATCCAGCGTTCCATGACTACTTGACATTTTTCTTGAGCAAGCAAGAAAGATGAACAGTCTTCTCGGCGTAGTTGCGCGAGTACTTGTGCAAGTACGCCGCTAGACCAAGAGACTTCCCTAGTCCCTTGACATCGACTGGCACTGGTCATTCGGTGATAGCCTTGATCTTTTCGGGATCAGGGCGTACGCCGTGTTTACCCACGATGCACCCAAGAAGTGGTATTTCGCTAGACGCGAATATACACTTCTTGAGGTTGGCGTACAACTTATGCTTGCGCACAAGTTGAAGCACTTGACGAAGGTGAGTTGTGTGAACTTCAACGTCCGTCTTTCTGTCCATAGCCCGACAATGGGCGAACACATCGTCGAAGTAACTCGGTGCGAAGTCTCGCACCGGTCTCAACAGATTTGTGACACATCTGTTGAATGTTGCAGGGGAATTGCTCAGCCCCTGTGGCATCACTAGCCACTCCCACAGCATCCCGCTGGGGGTACTCACTGCTGTGAACGGGACGTCCCGTTCACGCATCAGGATCTGATAAAATCCATCCATCAGATCCATGGACAAAAAGATGGTACTCTTCGACATACCATCTATGATTACGTCCTTCCTCGGTATCGGCGTCTGAGCCGGTACCGTTGCAGCTTTCAATTTGTTGAATGCGTGCACTATCCGCCACCCTCCTGTGGCCTTTCGCACACAGAAGGTCGGAGAGCTGTGAGGGGATGTTGATTCCCTCACATGGCCCGCTGCTAAGCGATCGGCAAAGAACTTGTCGATCGCTAGTACTTATTCACGAGGCAGTGGCCACTGCTTCATGACACAGTACTTCGAGCCCGGTTTGAGCTCAATCTCGTGTCAAGTGCCTTTGTTCTTAGGCAACTCGCAAGGCACGGATTCAGGGAACACATCCTTGAATTCGATCAAATCCTTATACAAAGGATTTGCCTGAAGTGACTCCCAGGATTGAGACGCGTATCGCTCAATCCGAGTCTTCTCATCGAGGACAGTTTCGTCCATCGATGAACTGCTGAGAACCCTCTCGGTCTCAGTAAACACCGTTGCCGACCGAATATCGACCACATATTCATCCTCTGTGACGAGTATGCAGATCTGCTTGACTTTGCCACTACGCAGATCACGCAAGAACCGTTTCGGTTCTAGCGTTGGCAACTGAGTTATCTCCGAAGTTAACTTCGGAGGCACAATCAGGTCAAGCGTATAAGCGCCTACGCTTGATCCACCATTAACCAAGACGTTCAACGTCTCGGTTACTTCCTGGGAACTTTTTTCCACAGGTCGATGAAGGCCTAATCCTTCAGCAAGTGACTCTTGAGGAATTCCTTCCTCAAGTACGTGGGGACTTATTCCCTCGACGTCTTCTGACTGTGGCTGTGCAACCACAGTCAGGGACTGATCCTATACGGTCGACTCTCCGGTCGACCTAGGATTTCTATGTTGCCCTTTGGGGGCAACAGGTTTCTTCTGTCTAAGATGCTGCCCGCTAGGCATGCATCCATGTCCCGGTCTACTCGACTTATTCGAGTGGTGGACCTTCGACGCAGCCTGTACTTCTGTACAGCCGCCGGGAGCTTGCTCCACAGTGTAGTGATCAACTACACTGTGATCTTGTGCAGTCGTGCTAACGACCGAATCGCAAGTGAGGCCATCGCACTCACTCGCAGAACATCCACACGCTTATGAACGCTCCAAGATGTTCATCAGATGGTCATCTGATGAACAAGTGGCAGGCATCTTCACGGATTGATGCTGTTAGCTCACCCTTGGCTCGTACTTTCTGAGCCAAGGTAATCCCAGGATGACATCAAATTTGTCATCCAGATCTAGTACGATGAATCCATCATCGTACTGTTCGCCCTCTAAAGTGTAGTGGAATCCGACTACATGTTTCTTAACGGCAATCGATGCGCCTGTTGCAAGGCGCACCGTCATCCTCGTGAGGAGAATGTCGCGCTCAACGAACTTGAGTCTACGACTCTCTAGTGACTGGCGTAGAACAAAGTTGTTCGACGCCCCACAGTCTACTAGGGCACGAAGCGACAAACCATTTTTCGCTTCCAACTTCAAGGTGATGAGCGAAACGTCATCACTAGGTGCAGAGAGACACAATGATTGTGTATCTAGAGCAACTTTCGTCAAGAGATTTGCAAATTCTCTTGAGGTTGATGGATCAGTAGGGCGCTCCACCCCTACTGACCCCGACCATTTTTTGATGGTCCGTCTCGCTGTTGCGGCTTCGCAACAGCGCTGGACCCACGCCCGTTGCCCTTTCTGGTAATTGGTCGTCCATTTCGCTCAATACTGTTCGGTACTGGGCGTGGAGCACTACACTCGTATGCGTAGTGCCCTAACTTCTGACAGCGATTGCACCTCTGCAATCGCTTGTTGTTTGAAGAGCGAGGTCTCTCGCTCTCAACATAGCAGAGGTCCATTGGTTCTGGACCTCCGATCTCTTGTCGTCTCGGTTGACGGTAAGATTTTGAGCTAACATGAGCCTGTCTCATGCTAAAGTCTTACTGTTCCGCGGCTGATATCGCTTCTTCAAGCGTATTCAGCTCAAGGCGGAACAGGTGGCTCCTGACGGGCCCTTCTGCGAGCCCTTGCATGAACACCGTAATCAACGTGTGTTCATGAACTGGGTTAGCAGTTATACTACTCGCTAGGAGTCGTATATGTTGTGCGTAAGCGTGCACATCACGCTTACCCTGCTTGAGTTTCAGGAGCTCAGAACGAGCCCTGAACTCAACTCGTGGCGGCTCAAACGTTTGTCTGAGCCGGGACTTGAAGTCATCTAGCGACCTAAACACATTTAGGTCGCTACTCTCGAGTCCCAGGGACCAAGTTTTGGCACGCCCTGCCAAGTGGGTCTGAGCAAATGTGAGTTTCATTTGCTCATCTTCGACGCGACGAGCCCTTAAGGCTCTGTCGAGTTCGACAAACCACAGTAACAGGGAGTCTTCCGGGACTCCACTGTACTTGGAGATGTCAACCTTCATGACCTTGGGACGACGCGCATGTGCCGTCCCGCCCACAGCAGCATGGAATTGCTGCTGTCTCAACAGCTCTGTCTGTTGAGCACCGAGTTCTCTCAACTGCTCGGCCTGTTGAGAGCCTTGCTGGTGAAGCAAGGCTCCTTTCTCCCTTTCGGGACAAGTTCATTTTGGATGAACTTGGCTATAGCGGCATGTTGTTGGTATCTGTCTAGAGACTCCAACATGGCGCTAATGGCGAACTCGCCTACGGTAGAACTCATTCGTTCTACCGCACCCCATTCGATGTCACTCAAATGGGTAAACTCTTCACGCGTGGCGTGAAAGGTCTCTTCATCATCCAACATGTTCATGTTGAATTCTGTGGTCCTTGGAAGGACTACAAAGTGCTACCAGGTGTAACGGGGCACACCCTTGCGTGAACTTAACGCAAGGGTATCGGTACCCCGACAGACGTACACAAGGCAAGCGAGGAAGCGTAGGTAAGGTAAAAGCAGAACTGTTATATTAATATAATTAAGTCTTTAACCACTGTCTCTCTGTTTGACTTAACTTATTTATGCTAATATAACTGAGTGTATGGTGACGTCTCGTCACCACTCATTGCGCGCGTCTTGCGGCGATTGATGGGTTGATATCATCAAGATATCAACCAACGAACAGACTCTTTGGTCGACCCTTCAATATCACCACTTCGGTGATATTGTTTAAAGAATATTCAACTTCATATTCTTTATTGTCACTTTCCTTAAAGTGACAATTCCATGTAACGGGCTGCCCCGTTACGGGTGTGCTCATGTACAGCTGGATATCTGCCAAGGCAATATTTGCATTGACATTTAAATCATCACCATTACCAATATATTCGGATGGAGTAACCCATTACACCACCCACCATTTCAATATCACCACAATGGCATGTATCCCCACGACGGGCGTCACAACTTCGCTCAAATCCCTGATTCTACGGCAGACGTCTTCAACGTCATTGGAAGAACCACGACGTGTTGTCGTGGCTAACTGGGCACCGTCCACGTACTCTTCTTTCTGGCAATGATATAAACTGAGAATAGCGAATGCTGCTTGCGTCGGGACATTGTAAAACACTCGAGTGCGGGACGTGCGCGAGCAAACTTGAACAAGTTCCACTCATGGGAAAGGAACTTGTCGTGAAGTCACGTGTGCACTGGACCACCACACACCCGATTGATCACGTCATCGTTATCACTATCCGCATCGTGTCTTTCTCTACCACATAAAGTCGTGCATCTGGGTCAGGGGTTGGTGTCATGGCCTGTACCAGCCAATAGAGAATGAGAGAGAGAGAGATCATCCCGGTCAATTGCGTCTCAATAATCGCATGCCCCTCTTCACCATCGCAAAATTTGGGTCGACTCTATCCAACAGCCTCACCCCCCGAGCCACACTTCAGTTTTTCCCACGTCGAACCCACTACCAGTGAGTGAGTGAGTGAGTGAGCGATGGTACTTCGCATGCTCTGGAACATTGGCTCGGGTCTCGTGCATGGCGCTCTGAAACCAGCATCTCCCTCCCGCTTGGCGGGCTTGCATTATCCAGCGGTGTGGAGAGCTCGCTCGGGGTTTATGGACTGTGATGTGAACCTGCACCTGAACAACTCGTCGTACCTCTACAGCATGGAACTCGCTCGCTGGCACTTGACAGCGTACGATGCTCGAGACGCGCTCGCTCAGTTAGCAGCAATAGATTGATCGTTGTGTTCATGTGTATTGTTGCACAGGGCAAACGGCGTCCTATGGCAAACGCTGAAGCACCGGCGGATGTTCCTCGTGGCCTCCCAAGCCATTCGGTATCGCCACGGCATCCCTCCTTTCCATGCGTACCAAGTCAAGTCGCAGATGATCTATTGGGACGGTCCTTGGATCTACTTTTTGCACCAGTTCCAAGATGCTTCGAGCGGCAAGATCTTTGCCGAAGGGTTGTGTCGCGCCATTGTGAAGCAGCGCGGAAAGGACGTGTCATTTACAAAACTGATCTCCGAAGTGCACGAGGGACCCCTTCCTCCCCAGCCGACAGAAGTGCCGGACGTTGTCAAGGGGTTCCTCGAGTGGGACGCTGCCAGTCGATCGAGTATGGAAGCGGCTCATGCACGCGAGAAAACTACTGCTACAAGTACCGCTGCACCACCAAAAACGCCACCGAGCGTTGGAGCTCGCGTCTGGACGGAACTGCAACGCTCGATGAACCGTCCATAGCTGCAGCAGCACTCGGGCGGCAACGACGCCTGCCGTCAATCGACTGAGAACATGGCTTGCGGATTACATTGAGACCAACGCAAGCAACCACACGGCTCAGCTCAGCTCAGCTCCAACAACAACAAGACGAAACGCTGCAGGATATAAGATTCTGCAGGCCATGTACATCCACAGGAACCCTACACATTAGTTTCTGTCGTGGGCACTGTCTTTTCTCGGCACGCTCCCTCCCTATCTTGTTGTGTATACTTTTCCGACACCTCTTTTCCCTTCTCTCGATTGGTATACACCGCCCCGTCCCTGTCGCGCCTCGTCCTTACAACTACTTCACACGGCTTTGTCCCGCCCGCCACAAGCCCCACGCGCTCCGACCCAATGCCGGCGCTCGAAGTCTTTGGGCGCCGCAGCCGCGTCGTCAGCAGCGACGACCTGTACTGCCCCGCACTGTTTCTGCTCTTCTACCACGTACCGCTCGTGCTCGTGTGCGTGCTGTACGTGACTGTATGGCGCAGCTGCTCGTCCACGGCGCTGGACAAGACGGGGCTGCCGCTGTGGTATCTGCTGGGCGCGACGCCGCTGCTGTTCTTCCGCGGGTGTACCTACCTCATGATCATGCACGTGTCGATGCGAGGGACGATCGTGCACCACGAGCGCCGCGTGCTGATGCCACGAATGCTGCAAGTGCACACGCTCTGGTCGCTGGTGCTGGCAGCGTACGGACTGGTGGGGCTCGGGAGCTGGTACGCGTGCGACATGTGTCGTCCAGATGCTCGTTATGTATTGGTACGAGTGCAGTCGATGGGTGGTGTGCATTCATTCATTCGTGTGTTTGTAGTGTTAGCGTTGATCGTTTAAATGTTTTTAGGCTGTACCTCTATGTATGATGTACCTCTATGTATGCTGTACCCACTTGTGATGCGGGACTGACTATGAGTGAATGGGTGTGCAGGCAGTTGGAGGGCTCGTGCTGGTGGAAGTGGGCTTTACGTTCTCGCTCGGAGTGTGTATCATGAGCGACGTGCGGCCGGAAGACGCGATCGTTCGAGGAAAACCGCCGTCAGTGACGAGTGCATTCGACTCGCACGGTAACGCTCTTGACCCCGAACGTCAGTCGCTGTTGGATGGTACGTGGGGCCTGGACAGCTGGGCCCTTGCCGATGTGATGCTAATAGAATGTTGGTGCGTATGTGTTCGCTGCAGAGGTAGACCACGCCGTGCGAACCTCGGACGTGTACGTGCCACACAGTCAGAGGCTGTGGAAGCAACGGTGCACACGTTGCTGCATGTGTCTGCGCTGCTTTACGTGCAACTTGTTTGGTGGAGCTGGCACTCGGCATGACAGCATGTCCTTGGTGGCAAAAGTGTTCTCGAGGTTGTTTTACGGCAGTCCAGACCTTGTGATATCGGACATTGTAGCTGGCTTTGTGCTCCTGGCAGCTGTTCAGGCGTACGAAGATCATCAAGAGGTGATGGCTACGTCACCGCATCGAAAAAGCGAAGAAGGAGAGGAGACGCTTGGTCAAATGCGTGCTAGAATTCGCGCTAGGCCGGACAAGATGAACTTCGACTTGCTTGACGACCGAGCTGTGGGCAGTGGAAAATCTGCTGCAGCGACGACGTCAGCGAGTAGTGCGTCGATGGTATCGACGACGTCAGAGCGTTTGGCGATGAACGGTAGCAGTGCAGACCGGTTCGTCTCCATCGACATTCCTTCCTCTCTTGAATCCCAGCAACAACCGCGCGATGAGTCCGGAAAGCCGATCAGGCCCTTTTACTACCATCCGACAGATCCTCACCTCAATGACGTGGAGCTGACGGATACGTTGAAGGAGTTGGCGCACTTTTCGAAGTATGCTATTGGCATCTATGGTTGGATGCTGTTTGTATGGTCTCATCCATGGAGCGGCACGTTCCGACTGGCGTTCTCGTTTCTTCGTCGCAACTTGGGGTGGGTACACGGTGACAACTGGTTTCACCTCAGCCAGACGGCACTGCAGCTGGAAACAAAGGTGCACAGCGACGACATCGTGTACGCGAGTTTCCGCAATTCGGTGTACCAGCCAGCATTTGCAGTGATGCTGGACCACGCGCGTAAGGAGGTTGTCATCGCCATCCGTGGCACGTTATCGTTGGAAGACTGCCTCACCGACGCCATCGCATACGGCATGTCGACGAACGACGTGTCTGACCGGTGGGGATGTGATGGTATTGGCGAGTATGCCCACCAGGGCTTTCTCACGTGTGCCGAGTCAGTGTACTTGGAGCTCAACCGTCTCAGGGTCCTTGAAATGCTCTTTGATGAGAAATCCACTGCGGCCATTGCCACCAACGAGGTCAACGCATGCGATCGTGGTGCGTATCGTGACTACGGCCTCGTGGTTACCGGTCACTCGCTTGGAGCAGGCACGGCAGTTCTGCTAGCCGTTTTGCTTCGCTCCAAGTACCCGCAACTTCGTTGCTTTGCGTATAGCCCTCCGGGTTGCACAATGTCTCCCGGGCTTGCTGCTCGTTGTTCCGCCTTCACCGTCTCCGTCGTTGTGGGTGACGACATCATTGCTCGGTCGTCGATCACATCAGCTGAGATACTGCGGGATAACGTTCTCGACTTGATCGGGAGGAGCAAGGTGAGCAAAGCGACTATCCTTCGACAAGTCGTTTCTTGGCGGAACCCAGGTGAGCTACTTCACGGAAGCTTGGACGAGCACTCTGCATTCGACGATGAAGGAACAGGCAGCGATGTGGCCAGAGTACGCTCGCCGTTCATAGCGCATTTGTCCAGTTATCGCACGATGCTGCAACGCATTCAAGAATCCGAACCGATTCATGAGATGACCATCCCTGGACGTGTAGTGCATCTCAAGCGAGTCGTAGACGCCAAAGAGGTGGCTGGGTGCTGGGTTTGTTGCCGTCCTGGAGGCGGCGGTGTATGCTGCACCGCACGCACGCATTATCGGTTCGGTTGGGCTGTTGAGGGTCAGTTTAAACAGATTCGCATTGGACGAACAATGCTGGACGATCACTTCCCGGACAAAGTACATTACGTGCTCCAAGACTGCGTGGAGCGCTTGCGTGGGAACTAGCACGAAAACGGAAATGAGTATCTGTAAGGTCGGATCGCACAAGTTCGGGCTTGCTCGTTGTAGCACGCACTGGCAACGAGGGCCGACTCGGTGGCACAGTCCGCTGATTGAAGTATGCGGCTTTCTTCTTCGGGTTACCGTTCATCGTGGCGTACGGCCGCACACGACGCATTGGAGGACGCCGGCTGCATTAGTTTTGGTGCAAAGGCTGCATGTCCACGTGGTTGCCAACGATTGTGCTGATGCCGATTTGGACTTCATAGATGCTGTTGGTGCGTGCGGCGACACTGAAGGGGCAGTAGAAGCGTACACTGTCTCGTCACTGCTGCTACGGCCGAAAAGGTAATGTCCTGTCGTGCTGGTTTCTTGGTGTCGAGTATGTGGCTCGAGCTCGGATTTTTGCTGGATCTGCGCAGGCGTATCCAGTTCTGAGGACGTTGAATACAGTGGCGGATACGACATGGCCGATGGCAATAGCGGAGGAGGGGGTGTTGCGGTTGCAGCGCTGAGTTTGTCCTCTAAAATGCGGATCCTGCGCAATGCTGCCTTCATTGCTGCCTCCATGTCTTCTTGTGCACCATTCGACAATGCGTTGCCTTCCCCCGAATCACTCACTGCGTACAATGGTGATGCGGGATTTCCCGCCGGCGATGGTGGAAATGGAGCTCCACGAAAGTAGTATGAGCTCCACAGTGTTACTTGGCGCAACACAGACGGTATATCTGGCAGCAACGCTGTTGTGCTGCTAGCTCGGTAGAACGGGTTCACGAATCGATCGTCCTGGAAAACGGACGCATAGAGCGAGGGAGTCCGGTCACGCACGCCCCAGGCGCTGCGCTCGCGCTCACAATTACCTAAGAATGTGCCGTATCTGCCCGAGAACACCGCGTCCGCCAATGTCTCGAGCATGCGTTCATTGAACTCGAAGTATGTGGGAAACAAGCGAAACAGTTGCCACACGCAGTCCAGGAACTGGATGAAAATCGGCGCTTGCTGGTCGTCGTCGTCTTCACTTTTGCCAGGAGCGACGCGGTCCTGGAACTTGTGACCAGCACGAACCCATTCTTTCTCAATTACCTCGAGAAAACCTCGTCGTGTGCGGTAATGCGCGTCAACGAGCAGCTGCCCGAGACTACAGAGCTGAGCTGTCCGGTCCCACCCATCGCTACAGTGCACGACCACGGTCGTGGCTTGGACCGCGAGGGCGTGCGCGACTTGCAGCGCCCCGCTCAGGACGCGACGCACGTGAGAAAGCCATTTGGTGTCTTCAACACGCGTACCCCACGACAGATCAGTCGACTCAGTGTTGTTCGATGAAGCCACGAATTCGCCCAGACTACGCACGGCCTCGATACTTTCGCGCATGGCGTGGATGTTTCCGATATTGAGGAACGACACATGTGCATGTGCTAGATTCCCGCTTTCCGTGCCGCCTCCCGTCAAGTTGTTCACCCGCGCATTCAACTCTGGACGACAATCTGCAATCCAGATCTTGCGAGCCCGTGTGCCGGAATACAGGGACGGTGAACCAGGTGAAGCGAGAGCAATGTAGAGCAGGTACTGTTCGTCTGCCGGGTTCTGCGTATGCAGAATACCGCGCTTTGGTTGCGCACATCGCCACAAGGAAGCCCCGTTGCGCGCATGAACGTAGCTGCAAATGGGCAATCGCCCCTTGGATCGAAACGAAGCCACTGCTTTAACGTGTGCGTCGCTCGCAGCTGCAGGCACAACAATCTGCCGAGGATACGTGGGGCACATGGTGAACGTCGCATTGAGCTCCGTCACGCGCAATGCACAGCTCGAGTCGCTTCCAAGAGCGACACCCATTCGGGCGAAGTCCGCGTACAGATCGTACAGCGCATGTCCTTGTGCATCCTGCTCTGTCGGTCGCGTAATGGACGAGAAGGCAAAGAAACTCATCGGCGAGTCCACAAACACGTGTCGATTCAGCGCGGGCAACAGCTTCACCACGTCGCCTCCAAGCACCCACGACCTCAAGTCTTTGAACTTCACTTCCAGTCTCGTAAACATCCCCGCATCACTTCCTCCTCCTCCTCCGTTGCCCATCGCCATACCACTCTGACCAATTGCACTGCCAAAAGTGCTCGTAAACGTACTTCCAAAAGCACTACTTAGGGCAGTAGTAGCCAGAGCACTACTTCCAACAGTCGTGTACGACGACGTCATTGCTGTCGGTGCAACCGGCGCGTACGATAACTTGGCCACTGCAGCACGTGGCATGCCGTGCATTGCCATGTCCACGAGCCGCTTACACGCGCCATCGAGCGCGTTCGTCCGACTGCTCTGCGGCGCAAACTGGAGGCGGAACGACGTGATGTAGAGCGTCCCGGGCACCTCACGGACGGCCAGCGCCGTCGGGAAGACAAACGACACGCACGCGATTGTCGCAACGACAGTCTCGCCTGGAAAAGGGGGCACCGTGCGACGCATTGCACCGGACAGAGCTACAACGGGCGGCGTCGGCAGCGACGCAGTCGACGCGGAATGGGCCGAAGAGGGCGAGAGCGACGGCGTGGACGGCGGCGACAGCTTCGGGGCGAGCGCCATGACGCGGGCCATGCGCGCGTGGTGCGGGCAGTGGCCGCTCGAGACGGTGGCCGCAGAGGCACAGCGCACGCCCGTGTGGGTCATGGCCGAGCACGTGTCGCCTCCGAACGACATGGCGGACGCACGTGCCGAGCGTGGCGTGGCGTGTCGATTGCGTAGTGATGGGGGCGAACGGGCGAGTTGTAGGTCGTAGGTTGACGTGGTGGACAATATTGGATGATTTGGTACGGTTTGGTACGGTTTGCTATCGTGTGTGGTTGGCTTTTGAGACCATATGCGACACATTGGCTGCGCGAAACATGTGGTTTGCGTTGATGCCGTTTGCGACCAATTGGGCGTGCGATTTGGTACAGTTTGAGATTGTAGCCTCGTCTTAGGTACGGGTCGGGTTGGGTTGGGATCTATTTTGGTGGTATGCGGTGGATGGACGCATCGCAGTAAACACGCCATGGGGTAGTATAGTACAGGGACTGATCAGAGGATTGCAAAGGCACAGCTGAATGAAATACGACACAATGCAAACGCCCGGCACAAACCGGTTCAGGCAAATTGCGAAAAACGCGGACAGGTAGTATCATCGTGTGTCGTTTCGAGGCGAGTAATGATAGACACAGTGTTGTGGTCGACGCTTCTCGCGTCTACCTCTGCGTGCTCGTCATTGTGCTCACATCGGCCCAACCGGTGGCTTTCGTGTCTTGTTCTTGGGGCTGGCCGGCACTCGAGGCGCACTCGTGAGCTTGCGTTTGACTTGCTGCCGTATCGGCTTGTGTACAAGATCAGTCTTGAAAGCGGAGAGATCGCCTGCGAACAAGACGCTGTGAGCCCAGCCAGCTTGCGGCGCGAAACGCGTTCGGAATAGATCGCCCACCATGCGGTACACAGTCGGCGTGATACTCTTCCGATCGCTGAGCGTCGCATCCAGCTCTCGACATGCGATCTGCCACACATGCGTGTCAACGGGAATGGCTTCCATCCTTTCCAGCGAAAAAAGCGCCACGCAGTCTGCGACTTTTCTTCCAACACCTGCAAATACCATCAGGTCCTCCTGATACGCATGATACGATGTCATGTGGTCCTGCAGCGCGTCGCTCGGTCCCTCGCGGCTCTTTCTCGCCTTCCGTTTCGTTCCCTCGTTCACACGACCAGCCTTTCCATCTCGAATATCGTCAAGATACGACGGTCCTCCCAGTTGCTGCAGCTGTTTTGCGGTCTTCACGACAAACGCCGCGCGGTAGCCAAACCCAAGCGCCCGCAGCACCGACTCTTCGCACTTGGCAGCCAGCGTCTCCACCGCAGGAAACGCATACAGCAGTTGCTCGTCTCCGTCTTCTCCTTTGTAGATCAAGTCACCATACGTGGCTCGCAGTTTATCCACCATGGTTTGAATGCGAGCAATGTTGTTGTTCGATGAGCAGATGAAGGCAAACAGACACTCGACTGGGTCTTGCCGCACGATCCGCAGTCCCCGCAGTCGCGAGATACTCCCTGACATGCGATCAGCTACTGCTGTCCATCGCCTGTACAGCTGCTCTTCGTCCACCTACAGATGGAAAAGAGAAACACAACAAACAACAACCACATCAACAACCACAGCATCAGCACAGTTCACTGCTACAGGTCTCTCACTCTCCTTCTTCTTCTTCTTCTTCTTCTTCCTCTTCCACTACCATCATAGCAGGACGTACATCCAGTCGAAAGTAGTGCGAGAGCTCTGCTGCACTGTCTTTGACCGGTACTGTACACACAGCACCACAGTAGTCAGCAGAGCACGTGCCCCTCCCGCGCTTCACTGACAGTGCCCAGTGGGCCACGCACCGTCTGCCGGCCAGAGGCAGCGAAAGTGGACCACGTGGTCCCGTTCCTGTAGTGCAAAGACGCGACGCTGGACAACGCCGAGCCACGTGGCCGCGTGTCGCGGGTGTCTCCGCCAGGCGAACACCTGTCCCGACTCCAACGTGAGGGCGCACGAGAGCGCGCGCGTGCTGCAGAGCGGCGTCCACTCGGCAGTCGCACGTGTCTCCGCTTGGACTCGCGCGTGTTCAGCCGATGCTGCAGTCGGTGGCGCACAAGAGACGCGGGCGCTGGTCGAGGAAAAGAGACCGTCGCGAGTCGCGCGTTTGGTGCTGTGCGCGGCGGCATAGGGCCGTCGCGTGGAGCGCCGCATGGCAGAGACTGGATAGACGACGGCAACGGTCGGTCGGGCAATGATGTATATGCAGTATAGATGATTGATGTCGGGATAAGGTGAATGCTTCGGCACAATAGCGCAGGTGGGCGAGGCTTGGCGAAACAGGATAAGAAGAGACTTAGTGTGGATTGGCTTCTATACGACGCATGCTACAATGTGTGTACACACCACACCCAGATACAAAGTACGAGCCTAATCACGCGACGTAAGGTGGCAGCTCAGTAAACGCGGCTACGGTCGCTCTTGCAAAAACAGAAAAAGAGCGTGTCGTGGTATGGTGTAAACTATCAGTGTAAGCACTTGTCATGCCACACACGGGTCTTGACTAAACCTGACAAACACGACAGCGTCGTCTTTCATGTGTCCATCCGAGTGAGTGCTTATGCCTGTCAAGAGCACCTGCACTTCGTATGACACGACGCAAGAGGACCATTTCGAAAAAGGACCCCTAAAGAGGACAATTTCTGGAATGGCAATCGTTAAATGGACAATTTGACAGCATCTCTGTACGTGATCCTCATGCTACAATATCATTTTCGCGTCTCGTACAGCTCGAATCGCCATTCGTTAGTAGGACTTTTTGAACGCTAGTACCTGGTAAAGCCCAGCTATTTCCCACTCGGCATCCGAGATAGAGCCGCGGACGTTCGTCACGTGCATCTTTTCCAGCAGCGTGCGATTGTAGTCTTGGTCCTTGCGTTGGTGAATAAACTGGTGGAAGTTCTGCTTCAGCAGGAGCTCAAAGCCGTGTCCCCGCAGGAGCTTTGCAACCAGATCGTCCGGTACCAGGTACTCTGGCAGGTCGACGGCCTGGCCGCCGCCACCGTCCGCGTCATCATCCACGCGATCACGCAGCGTGAAGTTGTAGCGCAGACCAAACGAGCCTTCCGGTGCTGCATTGGGCCCTGACAACTGCGCACGCGTGTGCGCGTCAAAGCGGATGCAGCACACCTCACGGTCCTTCTCGTCCACGATGCTCACGTCCGGTTTGCGACCAGTTCGCTCGTCGGCCTCTTGCTCTGGTGGCCGCAGCCCCTGGTAGTACTTCATCAGCAGTTTGTTCGGGTCGACGGTCGTTGCAATCAGCACACCGCCATCTGCAAGCAGCTCATGCACTGTCGAGAAGAAGCGGTTGGCGCGCTCGGCGTCGCCAAACATGTAGTGGAGTGAGAACTGCACCGACACGATGCTAAAGCTGCCAGCTGCGGAGCCCGGTAGCGGCACGGCGTCGTGCCAGCCGTCTGTCTCGTTCCAGCAGTGCATCTCGTCGCGCAGCAAGTCGACGACGCCGAGATCCCCTTGAATAAAGCGCGCATCCGTCTTCTTGCGGTGCCGATCCGCGCCGCCTTTTCCGCCGCGCGCAAACGAAGTGTACCGCTCGACGGCATCCTCGAGCGACTTTTGGGCAATGTCGACCCCCACGTAGAGCGCGAGGTTGCGCTTGGTCCACTTCATGAGGTCGCCGCCTTTGCCGCACGCCAAGTCCAGCACGCAGTCCCCGTCCCGTTGCGAGTACTCGTTGATCAGAATGGACTTCACCCAGTTGTTCAGCGCCCGCATGTGGAACAGCAGACTGTCGGCGCGGTCACTCTGGGCCCGGCGCTGCAGCTGGTTGTAAAACGCGGCGGCCGCGTCGTGGTCCTTCTCGTGGCGCCCATCGTCCGGTCCGTCCGTCACCATAGCGCTGTGCGAGCGCTTGCCACCACTTGACAGCGGTCGGTCCGGGCCCGACACCAAATTGGAGATCTGCATGGCCCTCGACGTCGGGACCGTCGACGGCCGTCGCGCCTCATTGCTGTCGTCGTCTTCTGCTGTACAGCACCGCGTTAGTCGATTGCTACTGCAGTCAGTCGTTGCAAAGGGTCAGTCCGACAACCCCGTCGAGCATCAAGTACGGGCTCTCTACCTCGTTGCAGCTTCTCTCCTCCTCCTCCTCCTCCTCCTCCTCCTCCTCCTCCTCGTCGTCGCCGAGCGCAGGCGGCGCTGGACTCAACAGGTCCATCAGCGAGTTGGACTTCTTGCATTCGAGTACCGGCGGCGCGCCCGCCTCGGGACGCACGTAGCCGTGCAGCACTTGGGGCGGGTAAGGCGACTCGGGCTTGTCGTAGGACGGCGCTGGTACAGGCACTGGCTCGGGCGACGTGACAGTGTCGTTGCTGTTGCTGTGACTACTGTCGTCGATTGGCTCGAAGGGCTGCGCGTGGGCACTGGCGGCCCGCAGCACGGGCTTCTCGTACGTGAGAGTGCCGCTCTTGTCGCGCACGTGGAAGTAGAACCGGCGGCCGTCGCGGTCGAACTGGTGCGACCAGCCGCGCGGGAGCTCGTCGTCGACCCAGTAGACCTTTTGCGTCTGCACGTTGTAGTAGTACGGCATGTTCTTGGAGCGCGACATGGCGACTGTCCACTCGGACGGAAGGGCTTCGGCCAGGACCTCAAGTGTCCCCATGATGAGACAGACAGCTAGACAGACGCCAAAGAGTCGGGCGAGTGGGCGAGTGGGCGACTGGTCGGACAGTTCGTCGATGGGTCCATTGGTCGATTGTTCGATTGATCGGATGATGATCGATCGATCGGGGGTCGATTGGTCGAACAGTTTGCTGATCGGTTGATTGGACGATTGATTGGCCGACTCGTGACGACGTTACAGCGGTGAAAACCTTGTGTGACAAAACGTGCCTCTGCATGATGCGGGAAGCTGCGATTGTTACAAAATGTAGGATGCATCGTGTGGTCCACAGGTGATGACGGATCGAGATGAAGAGATGTACAAGGACTGCGGTTAAGAGGCGACACGTTGATCGAGAGATTCACTGGCCGTTTGGTACATTGTTGATGGCAATGTCTCACTGTATGTTGAATGCCGTTATCGTTTCCGATGCGCGACCTTGCCCTTGAACACGCAATCTAGAAAACTAAGATGCAACCTTCCCTTGAACACGCATTCGTCTTCATTTTGCTTCGATCGCACTGTTTGCGGTTGATGTCTTTCGAATCGAAAGTAATTGTTGCGTCCGATGATTCCTACTCGTGGTGCACGAGAAATCACAAGGCGAGCACTATCGTGACGCAATGCAGTGCTGTTGCATACGACCGCGTCTTTGATTGTTTCCTGTCGTCACTGAGGTCGACATGTGCCTTCTTTTTTCATGACAATACTTTTCATCTTCTTCACCCACGCAATCTACGCTGCAGAAGGCAACGATACTAGCAGCAAAAATCGGTGCCTATGTCTCCCGAAGACACTTGTGCTGTAAGACGTATGCGTCGAAAATGGAATGGAGAGACTCAGGGTCATTTTACAGACTGGACTTCGATATGACCACACCGAGCGATTCTGCTATGTGGTGCAAATCCCCTGCTCCTCAGCTTACCACGTCGATGTCGGCGGTCATGGAAAGAAGTAAACTTTATTGAGAAGGGTAAAAAACAAAGGTAATGAAAAAAGAAACCAGAAGATCGAAGATTACATCGTTCTGCACAAGATTTGACACATGTCTCGATGACTTACAAGACTGAAACGGCCAACGAATGCACGAGAATGTATACCAAACGAATCGAAGCTGACGCCAAAATTACGAAGGATTTCTACCATTCGTACGAACAGGACAGCAAAAAGTATGAAGACTTCCTACACATATCTGGGATCATACAGATGGTTGCCACGTAGCTATTTGCACTTCCGCAGTAGCTTTGTTGTTCAGGTCATTCGCGACTTTCCCACCGACGGTCATTTGCAAGCGCAAAAAGCACCACTGACACCACAAACGTAGACCTACAATTTCATCCATCCGTCGTCTAGAAGGCTGCGCTGTTTTTCTCTCGCCATTCAGGCTCAATAGGAGTAATACGGCATCCGAAGTATAGCAATCACCTGTAGTGTTACCGGTTGGCTGGACCACGAAAGGATGGCGCAATGTCAAAAGGTCTGTCGAGACTGGCACGGGGGTCATCGTCTAATACAAAGAGGTTAACTTGTCAAAGAAACGGTAAGCTTTGATGACACGTCTCGTGCGTTCACACGTACAAACACTTGGTCCGTCGAAGTGCTGATCCTGAAAACACAAGCAATATCATTCTCAGCCGTGACGAGATCACAAACTTTGGTACTGCACCGAAGCATAATGCGATGTCCGCCAGTGTCGCGTTGCAATGCTGCGCAGGACGTTAAGAAAAGACAAAAGCAGCATAGACAATGGACAATCAAAGGCATAACGAGAAGACTCTACCCTCGATTGCTACCAGAAACTTGTTCGTACGTCTGCTGCGATTCATGCAGATGCTTGCCGGCCAAGACCATCACGCTGGACGCAAAGTCGTCGAGCGGTATGAACATTGCAAAGCAAAAATGTCAGGAACAAAAAAGCATTCGACCCAATCAACAGCTTCTGATCACCGATGGCGGACAACTTGATGACGGCCGATCGCACTTCGGCTACAACAGCGTTAGTAGAATGACGCTGCCAAATGACTGTATTACAATTAGATTGTGTCGATAACTGAAAGGTTTCCTCAACTTTTTGTTCAGTCTTTTGACACCGCAGAAACGACGCCCCACTAGGTGTTGTGCCTGCAATGGTGCTATCGGGTACGCTTGCTGCCTGGCCGAGAAGACGGAAATTGCAGAAAACAAATATGTTGCATCCGCTACGCATGCCTACCGCCTGACGCGATCAAAATTACCGCAGGAGTAATAACATTCAAGCAACCAGCTGCGCATCAAGGAGAGTGGATCGATGGCGTTTGCTTGCGGACACGTAAAATTGCATTGCACGCTGATAGAGTGCGCGATGCTGACGAGTCATTACATTCGGTCTTCGCATAAAAGGCTGCGAATGGTGATAGTGACGGCGGTGCTGATCTGGATAGTGGTCGTCTGTGAACTGTGTAGATGGACGTAATACTGCCATCTGTAAGGAAGGATGTAATACGCCGAAGCGTAGATGCGTTGATGCTCTCGGTCCACATTGAACATGTGGCACGACATACTACCAGTCACATGCGCTACATTCCTGACATCGTTGATCTGCTTGCGCTAACATAGACTAATAATGACCGCGTCATTGCAGATCTGTAGTACAAGCCAAGGTTATCGCTTCTCTTGGTAAACGGTCTGTTGTGATCATCGAATACACACACAGGCCGACCTGTCACCGCCAGACCACAGCAAATCTTCCATTTTTTCAGAGTGCAATGACATCTGTGCGAATATCACCAACGAAGCGCATGTGTTTCGATGTGACCCTGAGCCTGTGTATCGTCGCGGGACCGTACGTAGTACGTATTGTTCACATCCCTTTTACAGGTGCTCGGTCAATCTTACAGCATGTGTATCGGTCACCGTATTTCGTTTATCTCTCGAATTACCGATCACCCAACGCAAATACTATACTGCCTTTGAACCGACGACCGCAGCACCTACCGCAAGCTTCCGTCTCCGTGAACGATCGTATCTCGCATCCCATTGGCTAAAACTCACCACACCACGCCCATGGCCGCCGCCACGACGTCGCTGTACGCGTCCGTCGCGCCGCAGTTCACGCGCGCGCTGCTGCGTCCAGGACTGTGCGTGGGCTACTCGGACGCAGGCGGCGTGTGGCAGCTCCTCTCCCCTTCGTTGCTGCAGCGGCTCCCCTACGCGCCATCGAGTGGCGCAATCTCGTGGGTGTGACGCAGCGCATCGATCAGCTTCTGCTCCACTTTGTCGAAGTGACTGCCGTCGAAAAGGTCGACAGCGACCGGTTCTTGACGTGCGTTTATCTGGTCACATGCGAAGATCTGGACAAGTACAAGAGCATCGTGCGGCCTGCAGTAGCGGCGTGGGTAGCAGCGATGACTGCTGCTCACATGGAGTGGCTCGTGGTCTACGTGCCCCTCGGGACGCGGCCCAAAGCAGCTGGCACGAACGCACCCAATGCTGTGTACAAGAAGATCTATGACCGTCTACGAGCTGACTGTGTGCACAAGAGGAACAGTGGAGCGGCGGCATCAAGTGCGTCGAGTGGGTCTCTGCTGCAAGAGAGAGTCTGCAAGATCGATGCGCTGGAAGGCACGAGTGTCGTGGGCCAGCGGCAGCAGCAGCATGAGTCCCAGTGGACGGAAGTGCTGCTGCGACTGAGGCGGTGTGTCATGCACGCGTTCCAGACCAAGTGTTTTCAGTACGAAGAGAGGCTAAGGATGCTCGACACAAAGCGGGGGCTAGCAGGGTGGGACTTTGGCGCTTTCTTTGTCGCGAAAGAGAGACTAGCCTTGATGTACCAGCAAATGTGTCTACAAGACGATGCAATTCGACATGTAAGTCGTGGAGTGGCTGCTATGTGTAGACATGGCTCGCGACATGGAGTTAACGTTATGTCGCTGTTCAGTTGGACGAGCTGGACGCGATTTTTATCAACTCGAGTGCGACAGAAAAGCGAGCGTTTCAATCTGCCAACAGCACAGTGTTCGAGCGACACGACCCCATCTTCACACAGTCTCCGGTGCGGTTCATTTAGTCGGATGTGACCGTTGGGTATCTCTCTCTCTCCTGACGAATTTTTGGGTTTGCTGTATAGCTGACACTAGACCTTTACGAAGTTCAGCAGCTCATTGCATCCAACCGCGCGTCAGCCCGACATATCTTACTGTACTGTTTTTGTCGGCAGATCCGCACACTGTATGTCATGGGTAGTTATTGTCAGCTATTGGAGCGTGCCAGCTCGTTTATCGAGTTGTTTCTGAGCGAATTGAAGGAGCTAGCATCTGAAGGCATTCTGGATTGGCACCAACCCTTTTTGTGGGCGCTAGGCGCGTGTATGGAAGTTTCGCGTGCATGTGAGTTGTCGTGGAGTGGCCGTGATGATGAACGAGCGGCTTTCAGCGTACTTGAACAAACGACCCAAGCAAATTCTACCGCGGCAATGTCTCGCGCTCTTGGAAGTGTGTTCTACCTTGCACGACGAATACTCAAGAGCGCTGCGAAGTTTATACGAAACAGGAATAATTCTCATATGTCGCGTCCGAATACAACAAATGCCGATCCTGCAGACGTGTCGGTAACATGGTATCATCAACTCGAGCAAGCGTTCGTGTCTCCGGAATGGCAGCGATCAGGAACTTGTGGCTTCTACGAGCATTGCCTATCCGAGATTACACGTCTCGCTTCGATGCACTTTTCACAGTCTGGCCGCCACCGTTTTGCTGTGTTTCTTGACGCGGAATGTGCACAGTACCATATTGCACGTGGGGAATACAAGAGTGCATTGCGACTTCTGCGTGCGCTTATGCAGCGAAGCAAGCAAGATGGTTGGTGGTCAATATATGGTGCTTGCGTGCAAAGTGTCTACCGTGCAGAGCTGAGCTTAGGGCGATTCTCACAAGCGATGGCGGCCTGCCTTACGTTGTTGCAGCTTGCGCAGAAAGGACAAGACAATGGGAGCAACGAACGGATGGCACAGCTTATGGTTGCTCATTTGGCTCGTCACGATAGTAGGAAAGCGGCAAGTGAAGTCGTTGTCTCAGCTGGAGATATCGGCAGCCTTCGCAGCGATCCGGCCATGGGCATGGACGAATTGTTCAAGTGTACGCTGGCAGTCGAGACAGCTCTGACTGGTGGCAGCGTACTAGAGCACGGGGATATTTGTGCTGCCTTGGCCATCGCAAGTGCGTTTCCTGGGAACGTGCTGTTTGATAAAGTTTGCGTTCGGTTTGCAAAGACGATATGCCCGCGTAAGACTTTGGCCACAAAAGCGTCATCGGACTGTGAGTATCCGGGACTGAATGAAAGCATTGATGTTGACGCTTGCGTTGTGAGCATTGCAGAAAAGGCGTCGGGTGACACGTTGGCACACGAGATCAACTGCCGTCACTCGAACAGGACTGTCATGGTCGAGTCAGCAACGACTTGTGACGATGCTACTGAGAACGTCCACGGGCAGGACACAGAATTGATACTGGAGAAGAACGACGTTCACGTCGATGACAAAACGGGTGTCAGTTTGGTGTTCCGACACGCAGACGTCCCGGTAGGGCAATACACATGCACTGGTGTCGAGTGCGTCCTCGCGGGAAACACTTTTTGCTTGCTCTCGCCTAGCGCGCTTCCCCTCGTTGATTTCGAAATTTGTGCCGAAGGAAGCGCGATAGAAGTCGCTATTGACGGAGCCCCGCTACTTGTGCCGCGGCCGTTCGCAGAAGTGGAAACGGTTGCAGTCTCGATCGAGGCGAACAACGACACGGCGACAAATGGAGTCCTCGATGTACGTGTTTTCAGACGAACTGATGGTGACGACAGAAACGAATGTATTATGCAAGGTTGTGGCAAAGTGAACAAAGGTAGAAGTAGTGGTGAAGAAGAGTGCAACATCCGATTGATGGGGATACGGCTGGTTGATGGGACAAGGCCGGGTGCTGCAGACTCGGAAGATGCCACCGACCGTTGCCACTTTGCAAGTCACGAAGAGTCGAACAGGTCGTTAAGTGTTGCACTCCCGACATTGCTTCGCGGTGACTCACTCCGGTATATTGTATCGCTAGCCATACCGCGTGTCCGTTTCGTTGATGGCAGCTCTGATCCAGCGGGTCAGAACAGGGACGCCAACATCATTCATGTACAGGCAACAGTGCGATATCAACGGGATCGCTTGATGTCAAGTGTTTCAACAGCGCCGACAGAAGTGTGCTGTGCAGAGTCGACATTCCGCGTGCTGCAGCCGCTGACGGAGACCGTGCGTCTAAAACGCGTCGGCATGAGAATATTCGCGTCCATCACACTCGTGTGCAATCCTTTCATTTCCATTGTTCTTCAAGGATACCGACTGCGATGCCCCGGACAAGCTGGCAACCATCCGTCGATACGTGTAGAGCAAGACTTGAACGCAAAGTTGCGAGGCTCAACTCTGCAGCCGGATGACCGCCTGCATCTTGCGTTCACACTAGCCTGCAGCACAGATTTCGAGAAGGCGGTGTCTGACAGCTACTGCGCACTTCAACTCGATATCACGTTCGGTGGCAATGAAACATGGCTGAAGACCTTGACTGTACGTGTGCCGCTGACGGCCGTTATAGGGCGATGCTACCGAATCGATATACGCCCAGAAGGCCAGGACGACGTGCAGATGTATACCGGCAAAATTGTCGAGACGTCTGCTAGCAAACCTGTCACCTTCCAAGTCCGGGTGCAAGAGGAAACGAAGAAGTCGAACGAGGCCACCACGGCAAACGACGACAGAACCACGTTATCGTTACGTCTGGACGAAAGCAGCGAGCACGACTGGATTTTGCTGGGAAAGCAGCTCGAGCGCTTTCATTTCGACCGTTGCTCACAGAGTCATGATGAAGATTGGCGCAAGTTCGAGACACAGAAAAGGTTCTTGGCCACCCGTTCAGGTCTACTGCGATTCCCTGCTTTCCTCCTTGAGGTCGACGGCAATCCGGTTCCGGCCGCACGCGTATACTGTCAACAGAGCTGCCGGCAAGTATTAGCAAGCGAATGAATTTGGGATGATGCTTCAGCTTCGAGCCACCACGAGGACCGGTTTCACTCATCGCATGTAAGCCAGCGGTATGGCGGTGGCAAATAGAGATTCGACGTCAGCTTATGCCGCATCACCATCAACCAGAATGCCAAGCTCACGCATTTGTTGCCGCTTGTCTTCGCAGTTCACGTACGAGTCGCCATTGCGAATGTGCCACAGAGCGCCACCTAAATTCACGCCCCAGGCTGCGCGTGGGTACGGCGCTTCAGGCGGCACGAAATACCTTGTGCTCATCGAAGCACAAGTACCACCGTGCAGACTCGCATACGCTTGGAAAGCTGGTAGGATAATATCGTGCCAACGCTGATCGTTAGCATGCCAAACAAAGCCAACGTCATCCAGCTCTGCACGCAATTGAGGCGACAGTGCAACTTTGCCCGAGCGTACTCGTGTGATCCATTGGCCAAGTTTGAAGCCCCGCGTGGGGACCGGCCAGTTAGGGTCGCGGTCGGGTACGATAAAGTCCGTCGTCACAAGAGCGTCGTTGCCGTGGAGTCTCCGGTACGTGGTCAGTGCCGGAATGACCACACTGCGGACGGTCTTCTCGACGCGGTGGCACGCATTCCAGACAAAACCTAGAGCGTCGAGCTCTTTTCGGAATGCGTGTACTTGAGCATCAAATGCGCCGCGTCGCATGTTTTTCACCGTGTTCCCCAGCTTCATTCCCCATGAGTCCTGAGGCCAAGGCTCCTTCGAAGGCACGACAAAATCCTGCCCTACATTGCAGTGGCCATACTGCTCGGAGAAGACTACAAGCGCAGGAAAGATGCTTTCGGCCCACGCCTTGTCACTGAGTCGAAACGAGAATCCCAGATCCTCCAACTCCTTCCTGCTATCTCGAACTTGCGTTGCATAGCCCCCTGCACGCACCATGACCACCTGGCGTCCGAGCTTGTATCCCTTGAGTTCATCCGGCCACCTCGGGTCCTTGTCGTGAGACGGGATCGTAAACGTCAGCGGTACGTCTACATGGCCGTACAGCTCCCGGTACCGCCTCAAACCGGGCAGAAAGAACGTATGCCACTTGGTATCTCCAACTCTCCACACGAACCCGAGCTCGTTCAGTGCATCCACCTGGTGCTTTGGCAAGGGCGGCAACGCCGGACTGCCCAACCGCAGCTTCTTGTCCTTGCGCTCTCTCCTTTGCTGCTTGTCCTGCTGCGCTTGTTTCCTCATCTTGGCAACTGCAAGGCCCAATTTGTACCCATGTGTCGCACGCGGCCACAACGCCGCGGCCTCGTTGGATCGGGGTGGCACGACAAACTTCTGCGGCACAAACAGGTGGCCATAGAGCGCTGCGTAGGTCGTCAAGGCCGGCAGACACACTTGTTGGAACTGGTACTCGTGCCACGAGGCCAAGGGGAAGCCCATGGCCTGCAGCTCTTGCATCTGCTTGAGCGTTGGCTTGTTCTTTGGCTCGGACAGAGCCACTGCCGTCGCGTCGGTCTTGAGCGACTGCATGAACCGATGGACCTTTGCGCCCAGCGGCATCTCGTGCACCTCCAGTGGCCACTCGTCGGTCGGCGGCACGACAAAGCTGAACGGCACTGCAAAGTGCGCTTCGAGGGCGTAGAACGTGCGCAACGCGAGCACCAGTTGGCTCCGAGCGCTTTTGCTGCGACCAGTGGACGTCGCGGGGGAGCGACTGGCGCAGGCGAACGCGCGCGCGATCGTCGGTGCGCACACGGAGTGGACACGCGCAGCAGGTGCGCCCCCGCGTGGCAGCGACAGGGGACGTATCAACTGCAGCAGCAGTAGACGACGCCGCGGCATTTCGACCAGTGCTTTTGTGGGCAAAGGGTACATTTGAAAGGCGAAGTGGTCGGTCGGTCGGTCGGTCGGTTTTGTGGAGTTGGGATGTTCAATTGGTGTTGTGGCATGGGAGGGCGAAAGTGGGGAATGCATATACGTACTTTAGTGGCAGCAGGTACTGTGTGTAGTACGTTGTCGACGTATTGACTGAAATGGCAAATTTGTGGTGTCAGGAGAGGACAAATGCTACAGGTACGAGCCGTACTTGACCCTTCTTTTGTTTTCTTGTCGAAGGGGTCGAAGGACGAAGAGCCGTTGTGCTTGCTGCTGTGTTGGATCCACTAGACGAACTTTGCCATTTTGGTGTGTATAGAGCCGTCGCGCACTGCTAGCACAGATGTCGCACAGCACTGGAAAAGAAGCGAGTTCGAATTTCCGCTGCGTCGGAAGCGCATGGACCAAATCATCGAGTTGCGTGGTATAGGTGACCAACGAGTCACGATGGATGTCGTGACCGTGCTTACCGCAGAGTGATCAATTGTTGAGCGTCCGAAGCTCGTCCATATCGTACGTAGAAGTCACTAGTGTCTGCATGCGCTATGTACAAAGTGCCTTTTCAAGGAGTAAAAACTACGTTAGAACGGTGTTCTCGTGTCGATGCAAACTGATTGGCAAGTTTATATGTGTACTCCCTCGAAGCCGGCTCATGTGTTGTAGATGCCTAGAAAGCGACACAGTAGCAGCAAATAGCACCACACCGTCCGACCACACTAGCAGTAAGTTGCATGGCATTGTTTGACCTAACGTTATTGATCACTGGAATTTCTTCGTCGACGGGCACTGATGAGAATGTTCTCGTATGGTTGTTTCTGACGCAGTCTCTGGGGAGAAATACAGTAAGTCTGGTACGTGTTGTTATTGGCATCACACCAAATGTCAATGCGAGTATCGACGTGTCCGATTATGTTACGTCTTATCCCGTTTGATGACACAGATCAGTATATCAGCAGCAAGTCGTCCAATGAGTGAAGGACGTGCGCAAAGAGTGGTCATCAGATAGCCATTGAGCAAGTTTGTATTTACATAGAAATAAAGTAAGTATGAACTCATTCATTGAGACGATCAGACATGATCCGCGTTGACTTTTTATTTCGACAGACAAGCATATCATTTTAGTTGTATTCGCTGCCTCTTTGCTCGCACGTAAGGTCTTAAGGCATCTATCTTCACTTTCATCAGTACAAGTTATCTGACGCACTTCAGTATAAACGCAAGTGATCCATTACATTCGAGAAATCTCGTACAACGACCGGCGTACTCGAGCTTGGAACGTAAACAATAGACGACTCCATCTGCCGTCTTGGTCGTTGTAAAAGTATAGCAGGAGCTGAGATCGCGTACGTAGATTAGAAACCTCATCTTGATGGGGCCTTGCACAGAAGCCTATCGTGGGGCATAGCTTTTACAAGAAGATTATGATTCATTTATCGATTCGTCACACATGTTTTGCACCTCTTTCGAAGTGATTAAGATGAAGGGGTCTTCATTGTTGGTATTCCAACTGCAGTAAGCATCGTTCGAACGAGCTGAGTCTAACTATTGTCACGCACAAACTCCTGCATACATGAAAAAGCACAAAGAACTGCAAATCTACTACAGTGCTCGATGAAGCGATCGCACTGCGTTTGACTCTTATCTATTCCGTTACCTATTCGCAAATGTTGCCTGAACTGTTTCATCTAGCTGAACCGCTTACGATCGAGGTACCCGAACTGCTTGCACAGAGCGTTAGCAGTCTCATATAGCACCCCTTTTCACTGGATACAATGTCGCACAACGAATAATGATATCGGATTGTTGTGAGAACGTTGTGTGCGTCTATCTTCTCGACGCGATCGGAAACAGATGCTTTTCGTAAAGCAATTTTGTACGGCACATGTGGTGAGGCTAGATACCTCGACGATACCTACGACGATCATTACAACGATCCGTGACACATGATTGGTTTTGCCTTTAATTTGAATCATTTATTTGTTCAGTTATAGTAATAGGGAGATATGGACGTTGGGTATCATGCTCTCGTTGGCCCGTGGCAAGTCACTGATTCCCATTTTGGTATTCGTACACTTGAAGCACAACATCGATCGGTTCGTGGTTATGAGATTATGGCGCGTCACGAACGGAAGTGTATGCAACGGTGTTGCACGTCAATTCGGACATCCTCTGATTATTGCGTGGACAACTGTAGCATACAAGGAGTATTGTAGCACAAGGTGAACTGATATAGGGTTCCATCTCATATACCAAACCAAAGCACTATTTATGTACGGGCGGAACCCTACTGGTATATATCGTGCTAAGTACGAATATCAGCTGCAGACATTGTCAGTTATCACACGTGTGTGTCTATTCATCTTCAACGGCAGAAACCGTCGTCTAAGGCCATCCCATGTAAGGTTGTACTACCTATTCGTTTACTTCACGGGATTGTATACCCTTATCTTGGCTTACATACGCTTGGTATATTGTCTTTGATAATTATAAACAAATTCAGTTTACATTTCGAGCAAAACAGGCCAGGTGCTAAGGAAGTCGCATTCGCGAAAATGCTATTAATTTATGGACATTTTCACTGCTATACGAGCTAGTTCAAAATTTGAGTCGTTAGGTTAGCAGACCCTGCGAGCTGAGTGGATCGTTGATCCGCAGTTATCCTCTGTATCAGTAATTATAGTAGCTACTCTTCACTGCTAATCACAGATATAGCTGATCAACATCACAATAACACCGCAATTTAGTAAGGACGGAATTGTCAATATGGATACCCTCAAACCCAGATCAATGGCCAGTTTTGTGACCGAGTATCACGCAATATTAGCCCAGTGCCTAACACAAAAATGTGGACATTCGCCACACTAGTTCAATACATGTCGTACTATGTATCCGCTCTTTCCATCTTGAATGGCGTCACCTTTGACGAATAGTCTTCACAAACACATAAGCGTAACATTTGTATGCTTTTTCTTGTCTACCCTATCACTTGGCCGATTGTTGATTTCGAGGTTTGGCTCACCCAAGATCGACAAAAGGGGCCTTTAACGAAATGAAGATGATGCATGATCCAAATTGTCGGATGTGATTGACCCGAACCTCGAAAGTGATGATATGCCAAGTGTAAGAGCAAATATATAAACACTTGATATTCGTGCGACGATGATCTCACCGACTCATATTCCTTCGAGTCGACATATGAATGAGTTCAATGTCGAATGGTAGATGCAGACACGAAAGCGTTAGACCGTTTGGATAAGTATTGACTTCATTGTTGGTCCAATATTCAGCAATCAGGATACGGGATGTCAAGAGCATATAATGCTTACCATAGTTCTAACCACCAAATTATTCTGCATTGCAATCTACTTCAACTGTACAGATCGCGGAGCAGTCTCGTTCGATCAGTGTCATTTGTCCACCGATGGGAAGAAGGTGCATTGACTTTACAAATTTGATATCGTTACACATGTCTTATTTCATTGTTTGGGATGGATACTGTCGTCTTTGGAATTAGTCATGATTATCGTCCAAGACGCGCACCAGCTAAATTCGAATTACGATTAAGACGTAATCTAGCATTGACATTACGTACGAATCTCCTCTCATCTTTAGGGTGTTGATATCAATGAAAGTCACGACACCAATGAAAGATTCAAATGAGCAAATTGAGTTTGATAATAGAAGATTCTGATTGTCGACGAGGTCTGACAGACGACACGCTTGAAGCTGTATAAAGTCTAAATTTAGCGCAGTAGCAGTAGAGGTCGGTAAGCTTGTGCTAATTTTTTTAACAGTGGCCGGAGATGTTCTGTATACATAATACATTTTAGAGCGTATTAAGCTGCAGCAAAGGTTAAGGCAAGAGAAGAGAGCTTTATGCTATTTATGATTGAGCAATAATGTTCTGGAGGCTTACTAAAGAGATGAGTGCACTTGCACTACACCGACACAGCGGTTAGAGCCGAATGCAGTCCGTTTAAATCAGTTAAGATCATTTGTATTAGATCCAGTGAACCAACTGTCCGAAAAAACATTTCAAGGAGAAACAATAGATTAAACATGCATAATAATAAAGCCATCCGAAAAATACTCTTCGCGTGAAATTTCTATTGCGTCAAGACTGTGTCAGCAGATTGTGAGACCAATTAGCTAAGCAAGCTAGACTCGTGAATTTGCATTCATGCATGCGTCACCGGTGTCTCTCGCAAGACGTCGCACAGATGCACAGACTGTCGTATCGATCCAGCACTTACAGCGATAACAGCAGGAATATTCTGCGTCCGGATCTATGTAATCGTTAAAAAAACAACAAGGATTAATAATGATAAGCTCGGAGACCCTTAAAACAAGAGACGGCTCGCACTACAAGCCCAAACTGACCGGTCGTTTGAACTGGCGTTGTTGAAGAACGTGTAAACTCAAGGCAATCGGCGGGAGCCAAGAATGACTCGATTGGTGACACAACGACTTCGGGTGATTACAGCAACATCAACGGAGAATACGAGCTCGGTACAGTAGAGGCAAAAAATTAAGGGTTCAAGACACAATTGTGTGACCTCAGCTACGCGCGATGCGAAAAAAGCAGAGGCGACACGACAAAGAGCTTGCAGAAACGTTCACAATGCTGCAAGCAGAGATAGTAGCCCAGAAGCCGCAGCAGGAAAAACACCACGAAGCGTATGCAGTCACGCGAGAGCCACTCAAGTAGGTAAATCGACATCTTTCGGCAGAAGCGAGCTGTAGATTGATCATCGAAGCTCTACAAGTGCAGTCGCAAGTGCTATCGAACAAAATTGCCACAATCTTAGCATATTTGCAAGGTGATCTACAAGATATTGCGCGCCAGCATCATTTGCAGATGCGAGTGTGGAGGAGTGGCGATAACATGATTCTTGTAATCCAAACTTTCCACTGGCGCCCAGACAAACTCCTGTCGGACGGTATACTACGTTTACATGATTTTTTTC